ATAAAAAAATAAAAAAATAAAAAATAAAAAAAATCGGGAAAATTTCCCGAAATTTTCATTGTACTAATGAACTCAAAACCGTTAACTTTTTTATTTTCAGACTTTTTTATTTTCCCGCATTTGCGCAGAAATCTACTTCCTTTTTCCGGTCTCGTTTGCATGAGTCTTTGAGTAAAATATATATTTATCAGTCTAGTAAAATATAGGAAGGAACGCAATACCAATTCCATTTTTAATAATTCCTTGAATGGCTTGATATGAAAAAACGTTACCTGATAGCGTTTCTTTGTTTACATTGAATATGACGTCATAACATAAATAACGTCACAACTAAAATTCCGAACAACAGAACCGAAATCGGAAACGTAAGGGTATTTCCGTTTCTTTTTTGAACAGATTTTGAAGTTAAAATATGTTTGAATTAAAAAAAAATAATTCATACAGACTTCGTCCCCTTTCACAGGTAACGCCTGCCTCATATTAATATTAATTTTCGGGAAATCGTATGACATATATTGCAGCGTCCGCCAGGGGAAAATGCAACTGTTTGAAAAAGTTCGAAAAACGTTTACGATTATGATTTTATTAGTATATTGATTTTTTATTTTGATTTTTAGAAGTTTTATTGATTTGCTTACTGATGTAAGGTACGTCCCCATAACATTTTACTCAAATCCCGAGCCAAAACGATACCGGAAAAGATTTCTGCGCAGATGCGGGAAAATAAAAAAAGTCTGAAAAAAAAAGTTAAAAAAAAGTTAACGATTTTGAGTTCAGCACATTATGAATATTATTTTTTTTTATGATGACAATCCTATGAATTAGTTATAATATTAATTATTTAGTAATTATTATTGCCTAAATTCAGTCATCTGTACATAATTAAATGTTTCCTTATGTTCTAAGGTGTATATAGATGCTACAATTATACCCTATGGGTAGTGCTCCACAATTAATGGAGGAATATACAAGAAACTGAACTGAACTGTTCATTAGTACAATGAAAATTTCGGGAAAACGGGAAATTTTCCCGATTTTTTTTTTTTTTTTTTTATTGATTTTTCTACTGTAATAGGGGACTTGGTCCCCTTATTATCGAATTCAAATACTAGTAGCCGATTGCTGAGTTTCTAAGTGTAGTAAGTATATTATTAATTGTAAACCCTTTCTGTGTTGTCAAGACATCAAAAGACACATGAATATATGTAACTGGTGAGTCGCTTTTCGACCAGAGAGAAAAACACGTGAGACAGAGTCTGTATGTCTGTTTGGAATGTATAAAATACGCATCAACGTCCTGTAAAAAGGGGACGTCTTGGAGAGTGACACGCTCTCTGAACTTTAAGAGCACTTAAAACAGCTTTTTGACTAATCCATTGCAGTTCCAGTTACCCACCCTTCTTTCGCTTGGTCATTTGACGAGTAAGCGAATAACGATAGACCTATAGAGTTGGGACGCTTGGACAGTTCAGACTGGTTAGAGAATATAGCTTTCTGCATTGCTAATTATTAGACATCAAAAAGGTTTCAAACAAGCGGGGGTCGTCAAACTTGTTTACGATACAGTTACAGGGGAGGTAATGACGTCGCTAACGTAAAATATTATTTTTCGCGACGTCAAACTGTGATATATCGGGAAAAGATCCATTTCTCGACTGATTTTTATCATTCAGACTGATTTAACTTGAAAACGAGTTCAGGGACCCCACTTTTTAAAAATGGCATTTGGCTTGATAATTTTGTTTTTCTCGACGATGGCAATGAACAACTTTGTGTTCAAATTTGTGATATGATAAAAGAGTTGATATCCGTTATATCTGGAATGTTACCAAGGGAAGAGGTGCCAAGAATTAAGAACTTTGCAGAAATTATGGTTCCTAGTAGGAGGTCGGAGGGATGAAGAAATGAAAAATAAATCATAGTCCCATAAGTTCTGTAAAAACAAAAATCAAAGCTGAATCTGACTATATAGTACGGTCAAGACAATATTATTACCAAAATTCCAAACCATATACGAATTAGGCACAGACCATTCTTCTGTTAGGGAGGGGGTATTTTTTTTCTGAAAAAAAAATAGTTTGATTCAGAATTTCTTGAAAAAAATTAATTTGTTTCATAAGGGAAGTGAAAAAAAAAATTGTTTCTACTGAACATAAGAATAAAAAAAACCATTATGTTTAAGAAAGAAAAGTCCTGATCCTGTATGCTATTGGAAAAAATAGTTTGTTTCTGAAAAAAATTGTGAAAAAAAAATTCGTTCTACGAAAAAAAAAACATACCCCCCCTCCCCCCCAACCACCACCAGCAAAAGATGTGAATGGTTGGTTCCCTTAAAGCTTTCTGATAAACGGTCTAGGTGTATTAATTGGTTACTGAGCGACGAACGGACAGACAGTCAGATGGAGAAATTACCATATCCCCTTCAGTGTGATGCGCTGATGTATCAAACACTCCCGTGTTCATGTACGCCCAGAAATCCTACTTAACATGCATAAGTGACATTGATATGGTAAAGTGAATGTATTTTATGTAATAAAAAAAGTGCAACTCTGAGCATGCCGAGATTAATTTCTGTTCTATTTATAAACATCACCGACAGTTAATTTACACATGAACAATATTTGTTGATGCCAAAATACAGACAAAAATAAATTCCCCTTGTCAGCCCCTTTCTTCAGCTATATTTTGTCAAATGTCAGTTATTTTGTATTATACTTTTCTTTGCTGGAGCTGCTTGACGCCATTTTGAAACTCTACTAAACCTGCCCCAACCCAGGGTTGATGTCGATTTAACTCGGGTAGGTTCAAAAGGTCAAACTCGGGGTTGGGGGGGGGGGGGGGGTTGTTCGACAGACTCTACTTACCCGAGTTGGACGAATCGAAGTAGGCCCTGATGTTACCACTGCATATAATGATGAACGTCAATAAAAGGTAGTCAGGGTGTTCCATGGGACCTTTCCGAGTATTTAATTTTAAAGTATTTATGTCTTTGTATTGGGATTTTAATCAGCCTTTTGCTTTATAATATCCATTTATGCATTATGAGGATTTTACACAGGCACTTGTTTCTGTCAATGGGGGTTTACTATCCCCCCCCCCCCCCCCCCCCCCCCCACCACCACCAGCAAAAGATGTGAATGGTTGGTTCCCTTAAAGCTTTCTGATAAACGGTCTAGGTGTATTAATTGGTTACTGAGCGACGAACGGACAGACAGTCAGATGGAGAAATTACCATATCCCCTTCAGTGTGATGCGCTGATGTATCAAACACTCCCGTGTTCATGTACGCCCAGAAATCCTACTTAACATGCATAAGTGACATTGATATGGTAAAGTGAATGTATTTTATGTAATAAAAAAAGTGCAACTCTGAGCATGCCGAGATTAATTTCTGTTCTATTTATAAACATCACCGACAGTTAATTTACACATGAACAATATTTGTTGATGCCAAAATACAGACAAAAATAAATTCCCCTTGTCAGCCCCTTTCTTCAGCTATATTTTGTCAAATGTCAGTTATTTTGTATTATACTTTTCTTTGCTGGAGCTGCTTGACGCCATTTTGAAACTCTACTAAACCTGCCCCAACCCAGGGTTGATGTCGATTTAACTCGGGTAGGTTCAAAAGGTCAAACTCGGGGTTGGGGGGGTTGTTCGACAGACTCTACTTACCCGAGTTGGACGAATCGAAGTAGGCCCTGATGTTACCACTGCATATAATGATGAACGTCAATAAAAGGTAGTCAGGGTGTTCCATGGGACCTTTCCGAGTATTTAATTTTAAAGTATTTATGTCTTTGTATTGGGATTTTAATCAGCCTTTTGCTTTATAATATCCATTTATGCATTATGAGGATTTTACACAGGCACTTGTTTCTGTCAATGGGGGTTTACTATCCCCCCCCCCCCCCCCCCCCCATTGACAGAAACAATTAAGTGCCTGTGGGATTTTATGTCAAAATTGGCTCAGAGATTACATGATACAGGGAAATTGACCCAAAAGGCTGCATATGATTTTATTGAAAATATGTCAAAATTGGCTCAGAGATTACATGATACAGGGAAATTGACCCAAAAGGCTGCATATGATTTTATTGAAAAACTAGACAAAGTGATGCCCCCCCCCCCCCCCCATTCCACTCTGAAGTAACTGTATCATAACAAAGTCAATGTAGTACTTTCTTTGAGATATTATTGTGTCTGGGAGACACAAATGATGACCCTGCAGATGCAAAGTGTTATTTTTAAATACACAAAGTTGATCATGGGAGCACATAGGTCTATGGTTCACTGTAGGAGGAGTTCTCCGGAAACGCTATGCACCTCTTATGCAAGTAAATACTCCAAAAATTACAAAAAAAAGTTCAACTATCTCACAAAAGAGCAAATATTAATAAAAATCAAAACCCTGACCACATGCACACCTTCAGTATATGTGCAAACAGCCAGCAAAGTGAAAACTTCCTAGCATTCAAACTGTAGGAGTTATCCGGAAACGCTATGCACCTCTTATGCAAGTATATACTCCAAAAATGACAAAGTTCAACTATCTCTCTAAGGAGCAAATATCAATAAAAATCAAAACCCTGACCACAAGCACGCCTTCAAAATATGTACAAACAGCCAGCAAAGTGAAAACTTCCTAGCATTCAAAATGTAGGAGGAGTTATCTGGAATAGCTTTATACCCATAACACGTGACCCATTATGGGACGGACGGACGGACAGGGGTAAATCAATATGCCCCCCCCCCCCTCCCCAAACTTTTAGTTGCGGAGGCATAAAAATCCTGTTAGCTTTTTTGGCTAAATCTGTTTAGCCAGCTCTCAGATTTACATTAATTTTCATTAAGGTGCCCATAAATTTATAATCGATTTCATTGTTGAACTTTACTATAGTCTAGATGATGTAATATATGTTACCATATGCATGACCATGGACTGGTCGTGCGTCTTGCTAATTATAGTATATACTTGATTACTGACGTAAAACACTCACCAAAATAAAATTACGTTGCATTAAAATGATGCATGGCAGTGTGACTGGATGGCGATCGAACAAAGTTCAATTTAAGGTCATTTACTTAACTGTAAACAAGATTGACCTTTAAAATATGGTTTTCCTTTCTATAAATAGTGCTACATTCCTATTGGATGACAACATAAAAAATATCAGCTGATTAAAAATAACAAAACACGTGGGTATATATCACGCCATCCCTTCATAATCGAATTAAACATTAAATTCGTTGAATCTGGTGCAAGGAAAGTCTTAAACACCTTGCTTTCCAATACATATTGTAAGTATAATTAAATATTTTCCTTTATTGCTTTTAGTGAAAGGATGTTGCCTACTTTACATAGTTAATTAGCAATGATGCGCAGTTTCCTCCTCTATGTGTGTGTGTATTAACAGCCGGGAGAAAAAGAAGCGATATGATAAGTATGATATTAATTTTATAACTGTTAAATGATGTTTTGAGACGAATAATCACGTCACTGAGATTCATGAAATCTTATATACTTCATTACCATTGCCATGGTGTTGAATTATCATGAATGCGGCGCATGATCCATGAATGAATGAAAGTCCTTTTTTAAATACCCACTGGAGAAAGAACTTGTTACCACATGGGTATATTTTAAAGGACAAAGTAAATATGAATGTTGGCTAACGACTGGACAGGTATCCTATGGAAACAACACAGGATATGTCAATACCTATACACAGATTTTTCATGAATATTAATACAATGCAATATAGATTTTATTTCCAAATTAGGTTCCCAGGGGAGAGGGCATATGTACATTGAACTTGTATTTTAACAACATACATATAAAGAGGCCTTATTATAGTTTAACCAAACAATGCCATAGTAATTTCCATCATCAAAATCGTCTGTACATAGAGATTTGATTTTTAAATAATTTCTGGAGCATGTCGAGAGACGAACGAACAACCATTTTTTACACCTTTCAACGACCAGTAAATATGAATAATTTACAGAAAAATAAATAATTGCTACAGAAAAAATAAATAGTTGCAACGTAGAATTAAGTGATAGGATCGATATATATATATATATATATCTATGTGTATCTGGTTGTTTAGCTGTAACACGCACTAATTGACGATGTTTTAAAAGCTCCACATACATCTCCGTGTCTGATGCATAGAACCCAAAAAAGATGAAGCTTTTCAGAATACAATGAACATGATGAAAGAGAGATATTTTTGAAAGAGATGAACAATTAATGTATGTCACAATTAACTTTTCTGATCTCTTAAATGAGTCAAAATTTATTTGGTTATTTACAAATGAAAATCTGTCTGTACTCAAATACTTAAAGAATTATTATTATCAAATGTCTAGGTGTAAGACAAAATATGAATAATTATACAGCATAATGAATATTAAAACTGGTTTTATGGTTCTGGTCTTGTCTTGAATAAAATGGTTGTGATTTATATGAGAAATATAGGTAGGTATATATGAACTTTTTATACTTCATTTCAATGTTTGTCTATAGTAAATGCCATGCTGTCCATCAATGGGCCTTAATTAAAACAATAGATATTCTTACTCTTATTCTTTACATCAATCAATACTTAAAAAGAACATATTTAGAGAAAAGTTTAGGCTGTTAGTTTTTTTGTTTAAATTGTTTCACATTTTGTCAAGTAGGGACTTTTATACGGTTAGGGTTTATTCATCGTTGGAGGCCCTATAGGGTGACCTATAGTTGCTTAAGTCCACGTGATTTGGACTCTTGACAGTTAGTTGTCTTAGAGGCAATCATTCCTTGGTGGGGTTCCCTTCTACTACAGACTTACCGGGGAAGGTTCATAAGGAATTATGTGATTCAATTACTAATTATATAATATCTCACGCACTCCCCCTCGTGTCTGAAGCAGACAGGAATGCATTGTAGATATTAACCTTACAAATATGTGTGCATAAACAATGTAATTTTTTCAATTGATATAAAAATAAGGAGATGTGGGATTGAGTTAAGTTTAAGAAATTAGGGATTAATAAATCGAAAGTAGTGCTTTAATAATCGAATAATATATCATTCCCACTATCATACTTGCTGTAATAATTCTTGTTGCACAATATTTCGTCAGTACATAGGACATCAACGTATTGAGCTAGGGTCATCTTTCCTAACACTTGATTCTTTACAGTTTCCATCAAGAAAAAATACCGGATCACAAAAAGGGGTGTGTGTCTAAAAAGGCTTGCTTACCTTTTCCATCACAACCTAGATTAACTACCCCTGTTTCCCATACATGTCACTCAAATAATGCCTTTCATATTATTACATGTAAGTCGCGCTTTTCATTGAGTTGAAATATTAGTCGCTGGACAATAAACACTAGCCAGTCAATAATCATGAATTTTTATTTTATAGTTTTGGAAATGAAAATATAGCATAAAGCAAATGTTCCCGCGTAATTCCGATTTTTACCCATTTTGCGTGTTTTGCTATAATCTTAAAAACTATATAATAGAAAGAAGATAGAACTAACACTGCGAAAATTATCGACAAAAAGTTTCTACAAAACAGTAAACATTACCGAAATCCGATTTAATCGACTATCGACTCTTTATAGTAGCCATTGCCTTCAAAATAAAACAACATGGATATTAGCTTGAAAATAATAATAATTGGCTACCACAAAACTAAAGGCATTAGTTGTATGTATTTTCTCTCTCCGATTCAGATTGTAAATGAAAAAAGGAAAATGTTGTCCTTTCTCATTTGTAAAATAAGATGTGGTATCATTGCCAATGAGAGAACTATCCACCAATGACGATATTAAGGACTATTAAGTATGTGAACAACTACAAGTCACCATACAGCCTAGCCCCAGATTGATCTGACGGTTATTGTTTAGACTTTCTTGGGCAAAATCCCTGGCCCCAGCCATTTCTTAAAAAAGCAAGACGAGAAGGCATTTTGGATCTACCTATCGTTTCTTTTAAAAAAATTAACTAATCTTATGTTGACATTTATGTTAAAACGGATTTTGAATATAAATCTCAAGATTTTACATATTGGCTGTATTAAAGAATAAAAGTTCATTTTTGTTAAAACTACAAGTTCCTCCAATTACATCACACCTGTACGTTTTATGAGGCCGTCCTGTATGAATATCGAGTCTTGCATGCAAAAACTTTAAAGTCGTGTGGATAACATGAATTAAATAAGGCTATTTTCCTTTGGTGTCTGGGAGTAGTAATTTTTTCTTCAGAATCAAATTTAAATCCGAAAATCCCAGTTAACACCTGGTAATCTCTTGCGGAAGAAACGTTTGCTCTATCTCTGGAAAAAAAGAATTAGTTTCAAAGACTTGAATATATAACGGACGGAACAAATAATTGACATCTACAACGTCATCAAGTCTTCATAATACTACAACATCCAGTCTTCATAATATATATTTAAAGTATGTACACCTCGGGCATATAAATACTATATGTGAACTTGCAATATGGTCGTTTTATCAGGAATGGCTCCGAGAAATCCCATTACAGACGTGATACCCAGCTCAGATGATGGAGACGGTCTAGGTTTGGATCAAGTATCGCCAGTTATAACGGAAGAGAACTACCAACAAAAGCAACAACCATTAAAGATAGTATGGCAAAATGTATTTATCCAACTTGGTATTCATCTAGCAGCTTTATATGGTTTGATTAGAATACCTTGGTCTCATCCTTTAACATGGCTATGGAGTAAGTATAGTATACGGTAGTTTTGTTTTTGGCTAATGTATGATTTTGAACACCAAGAATGCAATAGTGATTAGTCGGAAGGAAATTTCCCAACTTGTAGTTTCACAGTATTTCACTGTAAGGATTCTAAATGAGTACATATTCGAGATTACATGACTATCATACTGATTTGAATCATTGAAATTGTAGAACTAACCATCTGTTTCGAATTAATACCAGCAAAAGTTAATTTATAGAATAGCTAGAATAAAAGAAATGTGTACATTCATGATCATGAATGGTCATTTTAGAATTTCTGGAATTATGTCGAATGTTTGTACATAGGCGAAAATATCTAGAATGCACAGCAAATGGCGTTGACACGAATTCAGGTCTTTAATATACCACATATTCACATAAATGAAAAAAAAAATGTTTTTATTACAGAACGTTTTAGTTCCATCAAGATTCTATCATTTTGATTTTGTGTTTTAAACTAAAATTGATTACTTTATGCTCCCTGAAAAAAATTTGCAAGCATATAATCATCCCTTTGTACGTCAGTTTGACTGTATGTTCGAAACAAAGGGTTTTTGGATTGGAACTTAAATTAACCTTAAGTTTCTTGATATGAATGAAGCTTATATAACAAAATTAGATGGAAGATATATTAAGAAGGGGGACGCTCATATCGATTCTTGAGTCATTACAGTCAAAGTTCAAGGTATTTTACTAAAAATAGTAACTTTTGGGAAAAGTTGTTTTTTAAATGCTTTTTTGTAGCAATATTATTTGCCATGAGCAACCACACCTTACTGATTGGCAAGGTCAAAGAATCAGTGGATACCCGCAAAAGAGGTTTTCGGTATATGTTTGCAGCTCTGGGGAAAGTGTTGGTAACATTTTGGTTCTTATATACAATTTTGTTTGTACCTAAAATTGTATCCTCCCTTGAGCAAACCCTTGCTTGATCAATGACTGTTCCTACTCTCAATAACACAGTTAATACAGCAATGCCTTTAAGAGTATTTAATTGCCCCCCCCCCCCCCCCCTCCCCCCCCCAAAAAAAACGAAAAGCATTCTTTCACTTGTTATAACATAGTTTTAGCTTTAAAATGTCAGTTTTAGTTCGCCAGACATTCATTGTGATAGTTGAGAACTACATGCTTTCCTGAAGCGCAAAATGTGTCAACGCTTTAACATCCTAATAAAAGCATTGAAATCTCGAATATTACACTAAACATGCTAAATGTCTAGCGAACTATATAGATAAATGAATTGCTGATGTCGCTTATGACCTTTCTGTAACTCTTTTTTCTCTAATTTTCAGCAATATTTTACTACATATTCTCAGCCGTAGGGATAACAGCTGGGGCACATCGCCTATGGTCACA